CTATCCATTAATCATTACTAACAATATTTTTTATTTACATTTAATTGCATTGGGTTCTAATAATTAAAAGAAGGAATTGATGAATGACTAATTTAATCTCCACTATAAATTATTTGTTATAATTATTTAAAGCTAAATTATAATAATGTTTTGAAAGAATAAACTTTTTGATTCTTGTTAAACTTCATGCACATGATCAAAAAAAAAATACTAATAAAAAATATAATGATAATTAATATAATCAAATCACTTTCATTATTACTACCATCGATCGCTTATCTATCATCAAAAATGGTTAATATTAAATTTACAATTTTTTTTTAATTCTCTATTGACAATCACACATTTTTTGTCAAGTCGTCGACATTAACAACGATTCAACAAAATATTTCCTCGCCTTGCAAAGTATTTTGTCAAGCAACCATTCTTAACCACAACCACAACTTTTTTCTAAAAACTAATTGCATTTTCATATTCACCAGAACCATTGTAATTATTACCCACACCCTATATTGTAGTTTTTATTATAAATTAACCAATTCTAAAGTAGGATATTTTGATTGAACCACAATATTAATGATCTCAAACATATTTTGATGACTCTGGTCTTGTGGGTTCTTATTAAGTTGGCAGTTTTTATTTGATTGTTTTTAACCTTACCTTATTAACGTTAAGATATGCTCAAAGAGTCACCAGTTGAAATCGTGTGGAATTAAAATTAATCAATCTTGGAAACGGGCAGTAATCGAGCATGTACAGCTTTTTACTAAGAATTATCTTCACTCTTTCTGGAAAAGACATTAGAACCAAATTGTTGTTATAGAGGGAGGGAGTGAAATAGACTTACAAGGAAACAGTTAAAACTTAATTGGGTAAGAAATATTTAAAGCGTAAACTAGTGCCAGAAATGAAGCAAATTCTCATAAATGAAAGGTATGCACCTATTATACTGTATTAGTATGATTTTTTCCCGGTAACAACATTGATTGAACTCAGAAATTATGAAAATATTAATAATTTTACGTTAATTTCTTTGAAACAAAGTGCTGTATAGAATACTAATATTAATATCAAGTAAAAATAAAGTCGTTGTATAGAAGCATCCGATAATTGAACGTTGAATAATTAGGAAGCTGGATACTCGTTTTTTTTTAAAGATTAATTACCATAAAAATTTTTTATATACAGTGTGCCGCGTTTGCAATCTAACAATAATAATAAACAAAGGATTATTTATTATAATCCTACATGTTCAATTATCTTTAAATCTTTAAATGAACATCTTACTTAAACTTTTGACCTTCAATAACACATGGTCAATACAGAACTCTGGATTATTATTATATTTGAATTCCGCCTGTCTTAAATATCGAATTTTACCTTTATTCAAAGCAGTTTATTAATTTTTTCGTTTATGGCCAAATATTTATATATTAAATGTTGAATAATTAATTGTCTTTTTATTTAATCAGTGGAAAATAACAAGTGATGGAGAAGTAATAAAAAATGTCAATGCAAGCGGTGAAGTTGGGAGTACCAAAGAAGTTGACAAAATGATTGAAGAAAATAACAATATATTTGCTGTAATTTTATTGATGGAATCATTATTTTAATTAATTGTGACAATTTATAAATTTTAGTAATTTAGATACAATAAAAAAGTAGAAAGAAAAAATCATCTGTTAATAAATTCCAAAAAAATTAAAACATAGTATTTAATTAAATTCATATTAATATTATTATTTATATTGCACTCTTGAAACATAAAAATTAATTCCAGGATCAGGTCTAGTAACAATGACAGTTTTCTTTTTGACCTGGAAACCTTCAACTTCCCTAAATTTAAATTTTCTTATTAAAGAAGTTAAAATAATCTTAAATTCAATTGTGGCTAATTTAGAACCAATACAAGATCTTGGACCTGTTGTAAATGGTAAATAGGAATAATTATTTATCTCAGATGTTAATTTTGGATTTAACCATCTTGATGGTTCAAATTCATCATGATTTTCTCCCCAAATTTTTGAGTCATGGTGAACTGCATATATTGATAATACAATTGGTGTGTACTATTGATTAATTAAATGATACATATGAGAAGCAGAAAGAAAAAAAAAATAAGTAGATGTTATATATTTATAAATTAATAGATGTTAAAATTAGAATTAAATAAATTTTTAATACTTTTGGAATAAAGTATCCATCAATTGTTGTATCAGTTTTACAAGTTCTAGATACAGCTGGGCCTAATAAATATAAATATAAATAATAATATGGTATTAATATATATGCATATATATACTTATACTTATTATACACATTCTTAATATAAATAATTGTATAAAAATATTAATTTTTCATCTTTTATAATAATAATAAAAAGTACCTGGTGGAATGAGTCTCAGAGTTTCTTTGAATACACAATTTAAATATTCTAAGGAATTTATTTTATCAAATGATGCTTCCAAATTAGGATCTGGTAAAGCTTCCAATAATTCTTGACGAAGACAATCTTGAACCTCTGGATGCTTGGCAAGTAAGTATAATGCCCATGAAAGTGCAGTACTTGTGGTTTCATGACCAGCTGCTAAAAATGTCATGATCTATCACACAACAAATAAATTAAAACAAAATAAAATAACAAAAACAAATATATAATAATAATATATGTATGTGTGTAATTAATTTACTTGATGTTTTAATTCTAATTCAGAAATTTTTTCTTCTGGTGGCAAATCTTGATTACTATTGATTAATAAAGACAACAAATCTTTTCCTTCCAATTTTTTTAACTGTGCCTGTTTTTGTTTTTCCTTAATTAGATGCAAGGAAATTTTTTCAGTGACTTTAACAGCATTGATTAATCTTAAATTTGCTTCAATTGGTAAAGATCTAATCCATTTGAATTTATCTGATATAGCCATTAACAAGAAATTCTTGAATGTTAATTTAGGATTAAAAAGTTCTTCATAAGCAGTTGCTAATTCATTCTCAGAGCTAAGTGAATTAAATTCATATTGAAATCCTATTCATAATAAACAATATATATATTTGGTAATGAGCAATAATATATTGAGCAAGTGTAAAAAATATTTTAAAGCTTACCAACTAAGCCAATAATATCTAATGCAGCATTTGAAATATATGAATTGATATTAATAATTAGTTTTTCATCTTGATCAATCAAATCATTCAATATGTTATTCAATTTATTAGTAACATTGATAATTGTAGGGACCATTTCCTACAAATTGAATGTAATTAAACAAAACATTCAATTTAATATTAAAATAATATTTAATATTAATAACAATAATTACTTTCAAGTTTGTAAAAGAGAATGCTGGGTTCATCATTTTCCTTTGACGTTTGTGTTGATCACCTTCAGCAAACAAAATTCCATCTCCTACCATAATTCTTAAATCTGTAGTAAATTCCAATGGTTTAATAAATTCATAAGCATTATTTGTCAATATTTGTGGATAATATTTAGGATCTGTTAAAAGTACAATTGGTCCATTTAAAAATCCATGATATACTATTATTCCTCCATATTTCTTGTTCCAATCTAAATGAGCTTTTCCCATCTTTAATTTAATATTTAGTGGATAAAAAATTAATTTCATTGGAAAAAATAAATAAATAAATATTGTATAAAGCAGATACTATTATTTACATCAGATACAATGGTTAAAAAATTTCCAAAAAAAATACTTTCAGAAGGTGGACCAGGTATTTTACATAATGGTGACAAGTAAAAAGGTTTAATTAAAGATTTATAAATGAAAAAACTTATTGCACCTAAAATTATAGTAAGTAAATAAGTTATCAAATTATCAATCATTTTTCACATTAAATTTCGTTGACTTTTTTTTTTTTTTAACAATTATTAATAAAGAAAAAAAATTTTTAATTTTGGAATAAGCATTTTTTATTAATTATTATTATGTTGTACGTGAAAATGAAATTATGTGAATTCGCAATTCACATGTGTGAAATTCAAATTGGCCAATCAGAATTTCACCCCATGGAAAATAGTTGATTTTTGCAGATCCGTGTTACCTATAATTTTTTTTTACAAAATTCTCTTGTCGCGAAAGATAAATATTATAAAACTATTAATTTTAATATTTTTTAATTCAGTTTTTTTATGAACTTTTCCTAATTAAACTT